CTTTGCAATAAAGCTTGACTACGGATATTTTAAGAATAATGTCTTTATGTTTAATGGGATCTCATGATTAAGTCACACTTAACATTTCATTAAACAGACTAACTATTCTAGGGACTTTATTATTCTGAAAGACAAACATAATAAAGAAATGCCTTTTATTATTAAACGAATAATCTGATACAAGTACCAAAAAGTATTGGCCTCTAGGGCTTACACCAACAGAAAATTGGTAAATAATCGCTGATCTCCAAATATTGGTTAACTTACAGGATCAACGCAGTGAATCCTAGGACATGTGCTAATGCTTTTTTAAACTAAAATTTGAGAAACAATAAACACTTCAACATCATTCATGATTGAAAAATAGTCTAGTTCGATAAGAAAAATACGTTGCGAGAAAGTAAAGAAAATGTTGTAAAACGCGTCAAAAGAAACTTATGCAATAAAAAGATAAATTTCTGGACAAAAATATGAACTGAATTTGATTAAATTGTAACAAATATGGTGTTTCATCAAAAATACATTTCTCAACAACTCTTTTCTCTACACACTAAATACTTTGAGTAATTTGAGTAACTTATACAAACTTCATCACACCCGAAATCCTATCACCAAAACCTCTTATTTATATTGAATCGAAATAACTGCCTCTAACGGTCTTTATCCTAAAATGCAACAAGTGGCGCTCAACATGTCTTCACTTCCTTAATGTGTTCCACGTGTCTTCTCTTGGAACTGGATAAGAACAAAGTTCTCTCTTTTATTCAAATTCGAATTTTAAATCGAAAATGCCATCAGTGGCCTTTTCGTCGAACTACACCTTCCAACTTAGATAATTTCTCTAAGTCCAAACAATCCTTCCTTCTGGCACAAAGGTCACTTCGACTAGACTTTCATAAATAATTGTCTTGTCGATGTCTGCCATAAATTTCCGAAAATTCTCTTTCCTTTATTTATTCTACTAACTTAAACCAGGCGTCAAATTTACGAGCTAACAAAAACACACCACAATCAGAGAATGAATGCATACCCCACCTTGCATTTGTGTGTTTCAACTTCGTAACACCACTATTTCAATTTAGGTTCACCAATGACACACCTCTCGTCGATTTGATATCCAAGCTAAATACTCTCCTAGGATATCTAACAAATCGGAGAGTTGTCAAGCTCGCGTATCGTTCACCTTCGTTTGACAGCGAAGGGAAGATACAATTCATAAACTTTGAACCGAAGACGGATGAAGGTTTAAAGATTATGTGGAGTACATTTTATCGTTACGCATCAAAGAGTCCAATTGAAGTGGGTGTGAAGATTGCAAGATTTGTCGACGATATTATCAATATGTTACAACGTCTTGAACTACTCATTTATAACAGTACGTAATGTTAAATTTATGCTAACACCTATCTATGTAATGTGAGTGTTTTAATTTAATGTCAACTTATTTTTATTTCTAGATCTTTCCCATATTGTCTCTATTTTTAGTTTGAAGCATCAAGGTCATTTTCGGATATGCATCTCCAGATCATACCAAATACATTTTTGAAGATACAACTCCAGACTAAAATTAAGTATAATAGGGGTGACTCAATCGTTTGCGTTTAACTTTTAGAAAATGGATGCATCCGGAGACGCATATTCGAACTCTAGGGACATTTTTAGTTTTCACCCAAGATTTGTGAAAAGGTATAAAGGTGAGAAAATAAATTTCCTTTTTAAGTTTGGTCTGGTTTGAAAGCCTATTTAAAAATCAACTTTACATTAAGGTTTTCAATTAGTTCATTTTATCTATAAAGTCTTATAGATCAGCCTATATATGCCTATATAGACCGATATATTTAGCCTATTTTCTATATATGCATAATGCTAGCCTATTTAACATACTTTTAATATATATGCATATATAGGCCGACGTATAAGGTTTTATAGACTTCTTAATAGTCTAAGTCTGAACTATTAAATTAAATAGACTTTTAAAAAGCATAAGCCTAATGTTTTTACTCCCCCGTCTCATAATGAGTGATACATTTGAAATAAAATGGTGTCTCAAAATAAATAATTCATTTCAATTTCTAATGCATCTTTTCAAATTTTATCCTCTAATTAATATTATTTTCACCATTCTCAATACATGATAAGGACACTTTAGTAAAAATATCATCCACTCTCTTACATTTATTCCTTTTTTTACCCCTTCGTCCCACAATGAGTGACTCATTTGGAATAAATGAGTGTCCCAAAATGTATGTTCCATTTCAATTTCCAATGCATTTTTTTCAATTTTACCCTTTAATTAATATTACTTTTATCATTCTCAATACATGATGAGTAGAATTTAGTAAAAATATCACTCTCGCTCATTTATTTATTCATTTTTCTAAATCTGTGTGAAAAGTTAAGTGAATCACTTATTATAGAACGAAGGAAATAATATGTGTGAAATGGTTAACTGAGTCACTCATTGTGAAACTAAAAGAATATTATATAAATCTAGTCTGACTTAATCTTAAATATGTTAGACCAGTCTAGTCTAACATATTTTCATCAATCCTCACTGTGGTATCTGTAAAAGTGGAGAAGATCAACAAAATTCTAAAATAAAATAAAATTGATAGAGAAAAAAATTGAATTTTAAAATAGAAGTGTCAATTGACTGAATTTTGAATTGTTTTTTATACAATTATTGACTTTTTTTTTTCATATATCTCATGTTAAACTTTTCTAATTTTAAAAATACTACTCAAGGTACAGCTGAGTACAAATAAAGTCTAAACTAAAATTTTTCACAACTAATAATCAAATAATGCATGTTTTGTGATTAGTGTTGTTTGTCAAGCAATCATAGCATTTTTTATTAATAAAAAAATAAAGAAAACTACAAAACTACGTCTTCAGCGTCACCACAATGCAAAGAAAGTAAATGATTTCAAATCAAATGACACATGACATACTTGATGTCTATTCTTTATTCAACTAAGTGGCAAACAAGTTGGATTATTTTAATTCTAAAAATGATTTTAAATTCTAACTTCATCATCATCGAATTTTTTTCCTTCAAAATAGAGTCTTATTTGTTTTTTTCATATAAAAATTATTTTGTTAACATTGTTGATCCTTTTCATTAATTTTTCTAAAAATGCGTTATATTTGCCAACTTGACATAAAAATTAGGAAATTGACACAATAGTGAATCAACAAATAATTAAAAAAAATTGAAATTTTATTTAAAAATACAAACATGAGAAAACCAAATACAAACATGAACAAACACCTATATTAAAAAATAACAACCCAAATATAAAACAATATTTCACATGAGAAAACCAAATATAAAATCAAATCTACAACATCAAATGCAATAGCAGATGGTGTTGATAACAGTGATCAAAATGCAGTCGGATATTAGGATCTAAGAACAAGCCTAAATAATCGATATTGATAAGAAAAAGACATTCATGCAAATATACAGAACTTTTCACAACAAATTACCAACAAAAACTATACTCTTTAACTTTATATTTTTGTATACAACATACCATATTAATTTGATTCACCGCAGAAAGAAAAGTAAGTGAGTTTCAATCACAAGTCAACAAAGCTTCAATCTAAACATGACTTGATACATTTACAATTACACAATAAAATAGACACTTATAACAAAAAAGAAAAAAACCGAACTTGCAATGGCGAAGAGACTCATAGAGTTCAGCCTCAATCACAACAGCTTTATCCGAGAGAAGACAACAAGAAGAACAGAAAAACAGTGGCAGCAGAAACATGTAAAGATGAAATTAGGGTTCTGATAGATATTTTAGGTGTTTAAAAAAATAATAAATTAAAAATTAACATAAAAAGCCACGTAAGCTAATAATGTCAAATAGATTGTCACAGCATAATTTAATGATTTTTCACAAAAATAACTACTTTAACTAAAAGAGTGTTTTTAAAAGACTAACAATAGTAACATTCTTTAATTAAGTAACCTAAGCGAAACACTAAACTAAATTAAAAGACTAAAATATACATTAAACCAATTCTTTTTAAAGTATAAAACATATATCTTTATTTAAAAAAACACGATAGAGTCTACTTTTTTTATATATAAATGATACATTTTCTTCAAAACATTTAATATATTTATATAAAGAAAAAAAACATAACACAATTTTATTCTAGATGAGTTTACACCTCAACTTAGTTAATTGAAATCTAATGGGTTATTGAATTGAATCCTTAATTACTCATCTGAATCAAGTACAAAGATTAGTTTTTAACGAAAAATAGTCACAGATGAACTCAATCCTTCAAAATATTTTTTTTCCTAATTAAAATCCTACAACCAAGCACACTCTACTAAAAAAAAATCCAAGCACACTCTAAGACAAGAAAAATACTAGCAAAGTATTTACGTTTCCCTTTCTCTAATGACTCAAAGACCTTAGTTTTTTTTTTTTTTTGACAAATAGTCACAGATATTATTAGTATTATCATTCGATTATATTTTCTAATATCATACTTTTATTTAAGTGATACGTATATCGAAGAGAGAGAGAGAGAGAGAGAGAGAGAAAATATTGGATTTGTCGAAAATGGAGTTCTTGGAGTCGGACAAGAAATAAAAAGCAACCTTTTCCTTTTGACAGAAGAAATAATAAAAGCATTCTAACAAATTAAGTCACCACTTAAGCAGTGACTTAATTACAATATATTAAAAACTTAAGCCACTTATATCAGACTGCAGTTTAAAAAAATGGTGAACAAAAGAATACACCACCGACCAATAATGTACAGAAACATATATCTAGAAATTTTTCTAATCAGAGACCAATACCTCGCTCAACCCAAAACCATTAAACCACAGTTTCAGAGGTTACCCCTCCCATAAATAACAAAAGAATGTATGAAAGAGTAAAACAATCAGCATTCAACTTTGCATTTACTAATCCATCTATAAAACCTGTAAAGTATTATTGGTTTCTACTTTCTATCACTGTGATTATTCACTTTCCTCTCGAACTTCCTGTTGAGTAGCTCCCTTGGCCAGGTTGATTGGCAGTCGTAGCCGAATCATCATCTGTAGCACGTAAATAGCACAGTTTATTCAACAAAACCAGAAGACAGTTAAGAAATTGATGTCGCTACAAGTAGCCGTAAGATCAAGAGTATGCAGACTCTCCAAGAACAATAAAGCCGTTGGATTAATTTGACTGTTGAGAGATCAACACTCTCAATTGTTATATTAATCCAATGGTTAAAGTTTGAACAACAACAGGTAAATTGACAACATTAGATCTCAATCAAATCATTTGTTATTGCTACTTTTACAGTATGAAGAAAAAAACACTAAAAAAAGAAAAACAATGAGCATATTTTTCTTACCAAATAGGGTCTTAATAGATGGCCGTTTAGGTTTTGTGCTCTTCTTCTTCAGTTCAGCTGATAAAATAACACACACTCGGATTAATTTTGGAAATGAAAAAATAAATTTTGGGAGGGGAAGAATAAAGACAAGGAGTGCATAAATTACATAAATTAGCAAGGTTCGACAAAATCACAGTTTATTGAAGTGAATTGATGCTGATGCATCAAAATGAAAAATTTATTACATATTTTGTTGTCCAAAGATAATGTATGGGTGCAAATGAGGTAAACAAGAAACTGACAATGGGTATGAATAACATACATAATTCTATATATACAAAATTTAAAGTTGAAGATGTACTAACCCATTCCAGATAGATGATTATCATTCACGATTTCATAGTTCTTATATGTGTAGCCAACAAAGTTAACATCCTTAGATGACAGCATCTGCAGCAAATAACAAATCTAGGTTACAAATCCAGACTTGAGAAATCGTATGTTCCTCATCAATACTATCCATGAATTTCAGTGATGAAATATTTGTATCCACCAGAGTTACTGTTAGCAAGAGTTGTGGTAAAATTCTAGTGCCATCTAAAGTAAATCAATCATCTTCAAACTAACTATTCCATTGGAAGCATGCTACAAGGTACAAGCATAACAAAAATTGTGATGCAAGGAAAAATAGGACGTGTTTGATATTGAGAAAAAGTCGAGTTTCATGTTGAAAAGAGTTTGTAAAAAATTGACACCCCTTAATAAAATGAGGGGAGTTTCTAAATCTACCTCCTTATATACTCAAATCTGCACAAAAATACACTACCGAAAGGAACCTTCATCCTCCATGTTTCTAGGGGTGGATTGAGAAACTCTCTAAAATGAGCTGGGCCAAAATTGTATATAGTATCAAAGTCTATCCTAAATTTGTTAATGAGCTAGGCTACCCTCCAAGACTAATAGTGCTACTACTAGGTGTGAGGGGGAGTATTGAGAAAAATCTAATTCCGTCGCTGACTAATTATAGAGTTTGAAAATAGTTTATAAAGAACGGACACCCTTAACCTTGCAAGCTGACCTTGCAAGCTGGTTTTGTGGGATGAAGTAGAGCCAAAATCTAAGATTTGTTTTCAGAAAATATTCAGTTTTCAGTTTTAATTACAAACATATCACTTTGTTTTTAATGTTTCCATTACAACATTTTGAAAAACTTATAACAAAATAATGAAAATGAAATCCAAACACGCCCTTAATTAACTTATTACTCAAACTACTTCAAAGAACCTTACTTCATGCTTATTACAAGGCATGTTAGATGTTCAAGGTATTTGTTGTTTCATAGAAACAAAAACTAATGCAAATAAGCAATAGACAAATTGCTAGACAGATAGACGACATAAAACAGGATTCAAAAGAAAAGAAAAACATCGGAGCATATCATAGAAGCTTTACTATTGATAAAAAAATTCCAATAATTTCACAGCAATCAGTTAAGCTTCAAAGAAAAAGAAATGAGCTACTGAAAGGGCCCCTAGTAAAAATATTAGTCTATTAAAATAACAATGCCACAAATACAATACAGAAACTAACGAACCAACTATACAAAGAATTCAAACAAAATCAAACCTTTCTCCATGGGCCTGATTTTGAGGAAGGTTGAGATTGGTGGTCCACCTGCACATTAAAGGAAATCAAGAGAGTGAGTAATACTGGATTGGAACAAAAGACAAAAAACTTTTATATCCTTGAAATAAGCATATATAACATACCTCTTCAAACTTCTCAAAATTTTGAGTATCCAATTCATCGTTGACCTCAGGAATAAAAGCAGCTTTCATTTGGTATAATTTATCCCATTCAACACCTTTGAACCATGGGTGAGCCTTGAAATATAAAGACCAGCCAATTATGTTATTAATGTTGAACTGTAACCCAGAACAAATTATAGAATAAGAAAAGAACACGCCAAAACACCTTTATTTCATCAGCCCCTCTGGTTCCAAGCCTCTGTTCTACATTACATAGAAGTCTACTAATAAGATCCTTTGCCTCTGCTGATAGTTTAGCTTCTTCTGGAAATTTTAAATAATTTCTCCAATTGACTATCTGCAAATATGAAGGTAGGGGATACAATCATACAATATGATAATAAAGATTAAAAAAATCATAGGCAGTAAAAAGGAAGAAGATAGACCCTTTATAAAATTTTAATAACTAAAATGTGTCATCAAACTATGAATTATAAAAATAACAGTACTGGTCAGTTGGTCCAAATATATTGTGAGCCACATCCATGATGCTACTATATAAGGGAATCAATATCATATCAAAGGAATAGAAAGAAACAATTCTCAATATAGGGCAAAAGCTTCATCTTTTCAGACAAACCAAATAACTTGTTTTTAAGCCTTACATAACTATCTGGAGGCAAATATCAATAGTAATAGAATTCCTATTTAGCTTGCATTTATATAGCAATATAGGCTTTCTGTAAGCATACAAGCCTACCAAAATTCCATGAACGCGGTCCTACAAATGTGCTAAACCTCAATCTACACAGCGTAATTCATCAACAGTTGATCCATACATTACCTTTCTACAAGTCAACATTGGTTCATCTGAATAAAAGGGTGGATATCCCACTAGCATTTCATACATTATAGCTCCCAAAGACCACCTGGAAGTATTGGAATAATCTTATAAGAGTACATGGAAAGAATATGTAGTTTATAAAAAGAAGAAAATTTGAAAATAATTTTGAAAAGGAAAACTAGAGAAACACAATATATAATATACCAATCACATTCCATGCCATATCCTTTCTTCAGGAGAACTTCAGGGGCAATATAGTCAGGTGTTCCTACTGTAGAATAGGCCTGCAGAGTTAGAAAGAAAGAAAAGTTTCAAATGCCATAAGTCTGGAGTCACCGTTGGATCATATGGAAATTTTACTTTTCTTTGGAAAGTTTCCAATAGAATTCGGAACAAAAGTCATCAGATTCATATGCACAGTGAAGAATTATAATAAATAACAATATAGAATGCACATAGTTTGTTAGTTAACAGGGAAGGAATAAAAATAACTGTTAATCTGAAAAGTCATAAGGAAGAAAACAGCCACGCCTACTTATGTAAATATTATGTGACTTACAAGCATTCGCCTATTTTTCTGCCAATGCAGCAGCTGCTCCTGCTGAGTCCTTTTAGGAGCCACAGGTTGTCCATTGCTCTGAAGGGCTCCACTTCTGTTGATTCCTGTAGAGAAGTCCTTTTCCTGAAGATTACTGCAGTCTAGTGGTTTACATAATCCAAAGTCTGATAACTTCATGTGACCATGTCTATCTAGCAGCAAGTTATCAGGCTTGATATCTCTGGAAGCCATGTCAAATCAGAATATCATTTCTTTTTTAATGCACAAGAAAATAAGAACAGCTTAAGATTATTATAATAGAACTTCCACAATATAACGTTATTATTTACTGCTTGAGCTTACCTATGAATATAATTATGTTTATGAATCGACTCTATAGCTAGCACAGTCTCCCCAACATAGAACCTGGCCTCATATTCTGTCAGTATATCCTTCCGCATGAGTAATGTCATCATATCGCCACCAGGAAGATACTCCATTATAAGATATAAACAATCTTCGTCTTGAAAGGAACAATAAAGCTTTACAATGTAATTGCTGTCAACTTCTGCAAGTAGGTCCCTCTCTGCTTTTACATGTTCAACCTAAACAAGGATGTAAAATTTACCGACGAGTATAACAAGGCACAATTCACATCAACAATCTGAGGAGGCCCTGATGATTTCAGTACCTGGCCTCGGCGAAGCATCTCTGACTTCTTAAGCTTCTTCATAGCATATACATTACGAGTTGCCTTCTCTCGGCAGATTCTGACCTATACCCAAAAAAATTAGAATATTAAATATTAATATACTATATTGATATTGTTGGTTGATGTTACATAAGATTACCTAAACACTATAAGGTTTTATGGCAGAATTATGTAGTGATGAATGAGATATATTTCAAATATTCTAACAAGGTCAAAGTAACATACTGAAAAGATCAGAAACATGGTTTTACTTATATAAAAATTATGGCAGACTGTACCTCTCCAAATGCACCCTTCCCTATCATAGTCAAGGGCTCAAAATCATCAGCACCCATCTTATGCCTCTGAAGTCGCATGTATTCCCTCTCCCTTTTCTCAAAAAACCTTAGCAAGTTGTTCTGCTCTTCCTCGGAGACTTCAGAGTCAGCCAACTTTTTTTCGAGCATATTACGTCTGCAAGAATGACATGCGTAGCGTTACAAGAGCTCACAACAATTTCCATTTGTAGATGTTATCTACACTAACTCGTATAAAAGCACCAGAGACATGACAAATGTTATGTCAAGATCATCATGCAAAGTTATATTCAAATGTCAAAGAATACAAGTTGCTACCTCGTTGGTCTGGTGTAACAGTGAACAAGGACATTGAAGAAAATTCTCATTTATATCTCCTTAAGAGATGACAACAAGTTGTTAAAACAGCTATTTTACATGCTAAAAAACTCATCAATAACAGCTTCGCCGTCATAATGATACAAATCTTAAGTTGGAGTGACCATACCGTTCTTTTCTCTCCTGCAAGTTCTTCATCTGCTTCTTATAATGATTTTCTATGTACTGCTTTGCAGCTGCAACTTTCTGTTGAGTGACATTTGAAGGAGCTTCTTCATTTGTCGGGGGTTTTGACCTTTCTTTTACAACGCTTGCAGTTTCCTTGTTTTTCGAAGACTGCATCTTGTCCTTGTTTGACTTGAACTTATGAAACCAGCAACCATCCATTTTATAAAAACCTTAATCCCACTGTTATATATGCTTTTTCACCAACTACTTAGAAGCGCTTTGTAAACCAAAATTCTCATTTCGGTGGCAAAGAAATCAAAGAGCCGTTTTTCACCACGACAATAGCCTGCACATTTACTCTTACTTCTGCCAAAACAGAAAACAAAATGGTAATGAATCAATATACTTGAGCACCAAAACGTCTGTTTAGCTGATCAGAAGCAAAACTTTGACATACAGATAGAGTGTTAAGAGACTCTAAGAGTTGTTAAATCGGAAGTCAAATGTGGTTACTAACAAATGAAAATAAACAAAAGAAATTTAAGGCTTCATTTTAGAACAAATAACACAACACATTTGAGAAGAGGGTGATCACAAATAACCAAATATCAACAAGAAAGATTGTTGGTGCAAGGAAGCAAATGTGACAGTAAGAATATAAACAAAAGGTTTAAAAAACAGTCTGCGACAGCGACAAAACGGTATCGGCAAGTACCGATACTGTTATTCACCGTTTTTATGTTAAAGAACAAATTGTAGTTGATTCACACCGTGACAAGCACATTCAGCATTCAGCATCACAACATCTGTACCAACAGAAATCACGAAAGCCTTTACTTGACCGCGACCAATATCTAAAACCACCTAAACATAAGTTGTGAAGAAACAGCGGAACAATCAGCAAATAAAGTTCAGAAAACACAACCATTTCCTAAGATCCAAACTAAACAGCAAAATCAGACTTCAAAAATCATGATCAAATTTGCAATGTTCCAAAACTACTGGAAACAAATTAATCAATTTCAATTCAGGTCAAATCAACACAATCGAATATCATTATTTAAACCTCAACAAAATCTAGTTACAGTTCAACAATAGAGTTCAATAAAGCTTGAGCAATTAACCAGCACTCATCTTCAGTCCAAACAATGATGATCCCCATTATCCTGATCAAACATACTCAATTTTACACGGTACAAGTCAAATCCTTCAAATAGATAAACAGAAACAAAATCAAAACTAAAATCACGCACCTGAAATCAAATTCAAAACCAAAACCAATAAAAGAACAGTTGCAGAAGTAAAACAAGTTGAAAATTGAATTGAAACAGCAAAAGGATCTCACAGCATGAAAATCTCAAACTGAAATGAGTGAGTAAGAGAGAGAGAGTGTTTAGAGAGAGAAAGTAAAGTCCCGGGATTATCGGTGTGAAGAAATGAGGAAGAAGAGAGAGTACTACTTTGTGATCATCATTTCGTCGTTTACTCTTTTTTTCTTTTTTTTTATAATTTATTTTCAGATTTATTTATTTATTTTCAGAGTTGGAAATTATTTTACTTTCGATTCTTGATAACACAGATGGAAACTAATTCATGTTCTCTCTTTTTTGTTTTTCTTTTTCCTAATTAAACCTCTTCTACTTTCTTTCTTAGATGCAATCCAATTCAATTATCTTTTTCATTTTTTTGACACACTTTTAACTAATATACAAAACTTTATGATATTCAATTCATATGTATTGTACTCTATACTTTTTTTTTAATATTATTATCAATTAATTGCAATTATTAAATAATAGTAAAAAATTAAATTTTAATATTTTTTTTTATAAAATCATGTTTACAAATGATTGTGATATGCTTTATAAAAAAAATGATTGTGATATGGTTGCCATTTAAAAAATTTAAGTTGTCAATGTAGAATAATAATTTAATCTTATACTCACGATAAAATGATCAAAAATAAAAAAAATTGTTATTTTATCTAGTTACAAATGAATTATTAATATATTTTTATTATCATAAATATTTAATTATAATTTTGACTCTTTTATTTTATCTTATTCATAAAAATTAATTAATTTATTTCAATTTCAAATATTTTTTCTCATTTTTTCATTAAAATTTATGAAGTATTAATTTTTGTAATTATGTACAACTTTTATATATATATATATATATATATATATATATATATATATATATATATATATATATATATATATATATATATATATATATATATATATATATATATATATATATATATATATATATATTAGATTTTAAAGTTTTAAAAAAATTATGATGATTTATCATTTTTCAGAAGTGACACATTATATAATATAGATACAATATCAATTTTAAATATATATATATATATATATATATATATATATATATATATATATATATATATATATATATATATATATATATATATATATATATATATATATATATATATATATATATATATATATAAAAGATGATGACCAAAATTATTTGAATTTAAAACAAAGTGATTAATTTTATAGATACAATATCAGTTTTAACTACAAATGCATAAGATGATGACTAAAACTATTTGAATTTAAAATAAAGTGATTAATTTTGTAAATCAGTAAAAATATGAGAAGAATTGACATACTTTACGAATATCTACTCTAAACAGATCTATAGTACAAGATCAAAAGTAAGATACAATGGTTAAACAAATTACACAATGGATCAAGATCTTTTGGTGTATTCATCTTCAACGTCTCTTGTACTATGGAGTAACAAAGACACTTGTACAAGTTATCTTTTCCAACTATTGCTCCTCTGAAACTGCTATATAAGTAGTTGAAGATTTAAGATGGATTTTCAACAAGGGACAAGGAAAATAAAGAAAAAGAGCCAAGAAGGTCCACGCTTCTGCCAGAATGGAATAATAACAAGATCAACAATAGCAACACAATTGAGTATGCATAAATTCTATTATACGTTGTAAATTGTACAAAGACTTAACATTTCTTAAACATTGAATATCTTAGAAATATTAAGTGTTGTGATCTTTGTTATGGTTATTACCTTGTTCCCTTTGATTATGTATCAAATACACTTTATTATCTATTATGTTAAACAAGTTGTTTAGTAGTTTAGATAAAAAAAATTGCTATGTGTTTGAGCATCAAAGCCTCTTGTTGTGAAGCATGAGCCAAGTAAATCTCCTGCTATGTGCTAGAGCATTGAAGTTTTGATCAATTGTTAATTAAGCAAGAAAGTCTTAGACCAAGGGTCTGAGCAGAAGTCTTGAGCCTGGATGGCTTGAGCAAGGAAGTTTTGAATCCGTGGGATTTAAGCAGGAAGTCTTGGACTGCAGGTCTAAGCAGAAGTTTTGGATTCGTGGAATCTGCGCAGAGAAGTCTTGGACCGAAAATCTGAGCAGAAGTCTTGAACCTTGGGGGTTTAAGTAAGGAAATATTGGAATCGTTGAATCTAAGCAGGAAGTCTTGGCCTGAGGGTCTAAGCAGGAAGTTTTGAACCTGAGGGATTTAAGCAGGAAGTCTCGGGCTAAGGGTCTGAGCATAAAAGTCTTATGCTTAAGTGCATAAGCAATTGTAATCATGTTTTGATTATATTGGAAAATCTCTTGTGCTGCAAGAGGACTGGACTACTCTCAGTTTAGAGAGGAACCATAATAAATCTTTGTGTGTTCTACTGTTATTTATTTGCTTTTAGTATCATTCTGCTGCAACTAGTTTATCAAGTTCTGAACTATTGTTTAGAATTTGAACATTATTCATAAGCAACGAATTCAGAGAACACAATTCAACCTCCTTTTCTTGTGTATTTTTCTCACCTTCAGTTGACATCAGAGCATGGTCTGTGCATAATACTTAGCAGTGGTGCAGATAAAGATCCAATGAGGAAAATATATTTTCATCTTCGTATGAAAAGAAGGGTGTCCAAGATGAAGAAATCTATTAAAGCAATTAGTCTATCTATCAATGGTGTTATTCTTTTGAGAAGATAGTTCAAGATCTCAACTTCAAAACAAGTCAAAGAAACTTCATCAAAACAAGCTAAAGATTCAGAATCAGAAAATCTATTTAGGTAAGTTCTGTTAAATATTCTCTATTTTCAAGCATGATATTCTGTACAAAGTTTACTGGTGTGTATAATTTCTACACTCGGTTACTTTGAAGGATATTAGCCAAAGAACTTTCAGACTTGTGAAATTGGTATTCTCATCGTTTGTAATAATACCAGTGCTATGTTGAATCAAAGAATCTCTTCAAACATTCTTAAACCAAGCTCTCTTACTACTGTTCAGAAGAAATTAGTATAAGTTATGTTCTTTAGTGAACTAACAATTAAGATATAACTCATAATTTTTTTAGAGTTAAAAGGCTGATAAAAATTCTGAACATAGTAATTTGTGCTTAATTGTGAATGAAGAAACCGAATCAAATATTTGTTAGATGATGTCTCAGTCAAAATCTTGGATAACAAACTCTTGATAAGAGATAGAATTCTGAAAAATCTCTATTTTTGAAACATGTATATAGAAATCTTTGATTCTTACATGCACAGAAGTAGAAAATTCTTTTGACACCTGTACCACATTTTACACATGTCTGAAATGTCTTCAGCATGCTTGAAATTATTTGTGTTTTGAATTTTAAGGGGAATGAATTTGATTTAAATACTTTTGTGTTTAAGTCTCTTTAATGTCATTTATTTCTCTTAACACCTTCTCAATACACACAACGTTATCATTGTGCTTTTTGTGTTTTATTTGTAAACCCTATAAAAACTCTAAAACTTCTTCAATGGTATCGTCATCAACCTATCCTTTAAATGTTAATTCCATGCAAAATCTTAAGATCAAACCAAAGACTACGCCATTCGACAAATATGAATTAAAGCTTCTCATTAAGCAACTGGTTGATTTTGATAGTTTTGCTGCAAATGGTTTTCCACTGGAAAGTCACTTTGAGTTCCAAGGATGGATGAACTTCTTTGATCTGCTAAATGGACCAACTTACCCAACTATGGTAAAAGATTTATGGGTTAGAGCAGAAGTATATAATGGGTATTCAGCATAAGATGAAGAAAGAACTGTTGTGGAAAAAGACAGAAGTTTGAAAAAGAAAATCTAGAGCACAGTTGGGTTGAAGGAGTTCAAAGTGTTAGAACACAGATTGGTTCTTAATAATTACTCTTTGTTTTGA